AAAGAATAAGTGATCAATTGTTTCTGCACTAGTATTGCAAAAAGTGCAAAGTGCAAAGTGTCTCTTGACACCAACAGTACACATCATCCCTGTCTTTAGATTTTGCAGCTCTCTTTGATTTCGCTTTGGAAGTAAATAAATCGCTAATCAAGCATGACGAGGGCATAAACAATACCCAACTTTTTCTAATTTCACTACAAGACATGATAATATTTAGAGATTGAACACAGAATTTAATCGATGGCCCATTACAAGCATGAAAAGAATGGATTTTAAATCATTCATACCTTCTTGTTGGCGGCCGCCATTTTGAGATCATACGCTTTCCCAGTGTTCTTTGCAGGCCTATTCAAAAGCGAAATCCCCGCCAAAGCCCCGCTAGCCCCGCTAACGGTCCCTGGTCGCTGTTATTTGTGTCTAATGTTGTCGAACACCCCGCACACTGGGGCAAAGATGACCACTAAAAACCGCTAAAATCCCCCGCTAATGACCCACATTCCCCGGGTATGGGGGTGCGGGGCTTTCCACTGACTAGTGCATTACGAACTATCCAAATGAGAGATCAAGTAAATTCGCGCGAGATAAAGATGAGCAAGAATACACACGTAAAAAATGAAATACAAGAACAAAACAAGTTACAGGAGATACTAATGTAACAATTACTGTTATACCAAAAGAAAATCAATTTTAAACTGGATATAAAACTGAACTAGAATGCACATTACTGGAACACAATAAGATGTGATATCAATTTTTTTTCAGAAGCAAACAGTATATGGCACATAGAAAATGTTTCATTTGATCATGAACATCTGACAAAATGACCAAAAGTGTACTTACTTTGATAATAACAGTTTCCACTTATCCATTCTCTCTTATCCACTTGTTTATCTGCTTTCTTCCTGAGCTTGTCTGTCCTGCTGAGTGTTTACAGTGTCCATCCAGAAAAGAGTCTTACACTCAGTCCACTCTCTTTCCACTGTCCACAAAGGCTTGTAATGGGCCAGCAAGGCTTCACAGTACTTCACTTTCTTTATCTTTTTGCCTTACTGTACTCTGTTGCATCATGAGGCTGTGTTAAGTAACAGAAGTAAAGTCATACAACTTAGAAAACTGCTCAGTAGAATTTTCTAATAAGGAACATTTAATCCTAAAACTCCCAAAAGTGATTGATATGTAACTTCTTCCTACAATATCAATACATTATCCAGTAAAGAGGTGAGGAGAAAACTCCAATTTATCAGGTAGTCATTGCTATCTTAATCTAACAACAAATTTTCGTGGCTAATTTACAAGGAAATGAATATCAGCTAAAGAGGAGAATTTAAAATCAAATCATGGGAATTTAAGGGCTGAAGCTAATTCCCATATTGGACTATAATTGGGATGCCATTTATCTCTAAAGGACTACTTTTCTTAAGTTTACTTCATGTAGAAAGGGGTGTCTTTATCACTGAAGGGGCTCATGGCCCAAATAAAACACTCACAAGTAAATGGATATAGAACTGAGAGGCTTATAAACGGAGGTCTTGTCATAAGGAATTTCTGTATCTTTAAAGTTACTCAGGAAAAGAGTTGTAGATGCTGAGGAAATAACCAACATCTTCCAGTTTTCTTTCTGTTCTCACAACAAATATGAATGTCAAAGGAGAAACAGTTTCAAGGCCCAATGTTGT